CCTTGTTGTTTTTACAGGGACATCAGAGAACCTAAAATAGTATGTGTGTAAAATGTTTCATTCAGTTAGGGCATGGGGCTGTGTGGTAGTCTACTGGATTTTTTTTTACTGCTGATCCGTTTGCTATGCTGAAAATCTCTTCTGGATTTGTCCCACTGGGAACTGTAGACTACTAAAGCTGCTGTCTTCCGGAGGTCCAGATGGACAGTTGGCAACACTCAGAAATAACTGGCTAGAAGCAGCCCTCTCATCATGCCTGTGAATGTGACTTGACTGCTTCAGCTCTGTAGAAGAGCTGGGGCATTCTTGAAGCTGCACTGCCCCTCTGTGTACTGGAACGGTGTGTGAACATGGTCTCTGTGCCCTTTGCTGGCTCCTCTTCCTTTGCTGCGCTCTAGGAAGCGGATGAGCACTGCTCTGTCTCCTCATCTGGGCCTCTAGTCTTCAATGTCATGGATTCCAGGTTTGGAAGATTTTGTATTTCTTCAGCAGGGAAAATGAACTCTGCAGTTAAGTCCTAGGTAATACACTGGAGAGAAATATACAAGAAAAAAAACCCCTCAAAGTGGTAAGGATTCAGTTCCCACCCACAGGGATCTCAGAGAAGGACCCTGCTTCAGTGTTCCCAGAACAGGAAAACTCTGTTTATACTTACTATGCAGGCTTTCTTAGTCATGACAAGGGTTCCATTGTGAAGGATAAGTAAAAGGTCACCCTCCCAGCAAAATCAGAGATAGGTTTGCTCTGTTTTGGATAGGGCCATATGTAATTCAGATGGACACCAATAATTTCAAAGGAATATACTGGCTGGAGCTGGCCCTTGGCGGCACTTTGAGATAATAGTCAAGGCGGTCTGATATCCTTTTCCTCTACTTGTGTTTTCCTCCTATTCTGGGGTCTGTACTCACTCCCCTCCCCAACCTCCAGAACACCCTTCTTTACTTCCCCCTCTGGGGAGGAGGTAGAGGTAGGCCATGGACTGGAGATCTTCCCCAAAGATACTTGCGTTTTATTTTGTTTTGTTTTGTTTTGTTTAAAGAAGATGATGAAAATTTTGTCCAGTCACAGCTAAGTTAATAATATAACTTCAAGCATCTAAGGATGACATTGGAAGGTGCATGGAAATATAACCACTAAAAAAAAGGACCTTAAGGGGCTGGGGAGATAGCTCACTGGCAAAGTGCTTGTTACACAGGCATGAGTTTGATCTCTAGCACCCACATAAGAAGCTGGGTGTGGTGATGTATACTTGTGATCCCAATGCTGGGGAGGCTGACAGGCAGATAGATACCTGGGGCTTGCTGGATAGCTGGCCTAGCCTAATCAGAAAGCCTTAGATCCTAGTAAGAGACCCTGTCTTAAAAAAACAAGTTGTGTGACACCTCTGGTCTCCACAGGCATACAGGTACACTCCTGTACCCCACACTTCCCCTATACAAAGCACCTCAAAGCTGACTGTTCCTAAGCTAGCACACTTCTTGTATTGGTATTTCCATCATAAGAGGAGAGGTTTTGGGCCTAGAGAGCAGTTTCATGCCTAGAGACTAGAATTTAATCCTCCCTGATGTCAGAGTTTATCTACAGGAAGCCAAGGGACCTTGTGAACGCTCATGTTGGACTTCTGATATAACTGGGCTTCTTTAAAGTAGATTCTCTAGGAGGTTGACACCCCTCTGTCCTTTGCAGTTAGAAACCCAGGCTTCTCCCCAGCTAGACATCACTTTGACTATTTACTGAATATTGAATGTGCCCTATTGTGCTTCTCTTTTGAAGATGAAATTTCTCTTTCTAATGTTAAGCAGATGTTAGGCAACAATATATTCAGATTTTTAGTAGCCTTAGGAAGAAGCTAAACTACTCAGCTTTGGGGATCCAGAAGAAATAATTCCAAAGGACTCAGACCACTCCAGTAGGGTGTTCTGCCCTTAGCTGTTGGGGGCAGAACTGAGCTCTGCCTGATTTTGTACAGGAAGCTGATAGAATGAATTCTTTATTCCAGCTGTCCTTCCTCCCTCTCCAAAGAAGTTTGGGGAACTTGTTTGGAGGTATGTGGGGTGAAGATAAGGTTGGGGTTCACACTCTGAGGTGCTTTTTACCCAAGTACTCTATTTCTGGAAAGATAAAATTTCCATTCCATCTACTACCACCAAGAACCTAGACTTTCATGTTTAGTGGTCAAGATGAATCCAGCCACGTTCTCTGCTTGGGTTTTTGCCATTGTTCCTACCTCATCTTCCTTCCTATGGAGCATTGGCTTTGTAGGTAGCGTTGCTGAGGCTAATTCATCTCATCCTCCTGTGTCCTTTCTAATGGGGACTAGAACACTGGTATGTCATCACCAAAAAGCCAATCTGCTCTAGCTGCCCACAGATGCCACACACCAAAACCCATGTTGCTCCATCACCAGGTACCATTCTCTCCTTAGTAAATATATCAGAGTCATTTTCACATCTGTGTTGGTCATAAGGTGGGTGAAGTCTCCCCTCCCCCACCTCTTACAGCGGCTACCACTTATTGTGAATGTAGTCTTGCCAGTGACCCACCTGCAGTGGGGAACTAAACTTGAGATCCAAGGTTAAAAACAGCATAGACACCACTTGATGCTGATTTGGACAACAAAGGAGTCAGTCTCTGAATTCCAAAGTTATTCTAAGTACCCAATGGCATCTCTACATCTAAAAAGTTGCAATATTATACAAATGAAGTGACCTCATTTTCTGCTATGCAATAAGGACACTTAATTCTATGTCATGACAAGCCAGTTGCAATCTCCCCTAAGATGCTTTTTGAATATTTGTTGTGTAATGTTTGTATATTTCTGAGCCAGATACTTTCAAAGGTTGCCTTTTTATAAAATTGAAGCTATAGCTTTGAGGCTAAAGTTTTAATGTTGATATTTTTATAGATAATTTTTCAAGGTATTTCAATCGCTTTTTATTGTCCACGATGATAAGATGCTGTTCTCAGTGTCACTCTCTCTCACACGGTCCACACCTGTTAGCTCTCTTCTGTTTCTCACCTTCCCAGGTAATGGCCTGGGAATTTTTGACAACATTCAAGGGAGACACAGTCACTGTTGTTCTTGAATCACTAGGAACTAATGCTAAACTTGACTCAGTGTTACCAATCTATAGCGCTTATTGCTCTGTGTTTAGGATTCCACTTTCTGCAGGGGTTGGCTGGGTAGGCCCATGTGGCTCTCACTGCCTGGCATGGAGCCTGCCCTCCAGGCCACACTTCTGGGTTTCCTGGGTCCTGCAGACCATCACTCTTTCCTTACCGTCTCCTCATTCTTTGAAGATTTTCAGTACTCAGGACCTTTGGTACCAGGTCAGGGCTCTTTTGGAAGCTTGCATTTTTCTGTACTTTAAAAGAGGGTCTGTCATGACCCTTGGGAAGAATGTGTTTAGCATGTGTTTTGTAGATGCTCACTCTATTTTCCCTTGAGCTGTCTCCACTCTAGATTTTGTGTAGTACCTGCCATAAGCATCATATTTTTCTTTTTAAAATTTAATTTTATTATTTTGAGGACAGGTGCCATTTAAATTGCCCCCATGCTTCCCATTTGCAACTAGTGGATCAAGAAGCTGAGCAAATTCATTAGGTTAGATAGTGTCCAAGGCTCTGTTTGCCCACAGAAGCAGGGAGGCTGGAATGTATTCTTTTTAAATGTTTGCACTACTTAGAGTCTTAGCCCCCCCCCCCCCCCCCC